TCCAAACAGCTCTTGAGTAATCATCTACCACAGTAAGAAAGTACACAGCCCCACACGAAGCCGGTACCCTATAAGGGCCCCAAACGTCCACATGAATCAACTCAAAACTCTTGCTAGTTTTATTCATACTATCATAAAAAACATCTCTTGTTTGCTTTGCTCTAAAACACACGTCGCACTGACTAGAGCAAGCATTATTTTTAACACCAGAAATCTCAGACAAAGAAGAAAACACTGAAATAGCAGGGTGTCCAAGTCTCCTATGCCACAAAACTTGTTTCTCAGTTCCACTAGCTTTGTTGGCTTGAGCTACTCTAACATCCTTGAAATAATATACCCCATCACGTTCCTCACCGGCTCCAATCAGAGTCTTCGAAGAACGGTCCTGCAAAACACAAATAGTATCCGTGAAAAGTGCAAAACAGTTAGTGTGGCGCAGCAACTTGGACACTGAAATAAGTGTACAATCCAAATTTGGTACAAATAGGACATCTTTGAGTGATATACGATCCGTTAAGACCATGTCACCCATCTGAGTTGACGTTGAAGTTCCACCGTCTGCGAAGCCAACTTTACAAGCTGGAGTATTCCTTACATTGACAAGCAATGACACATCCCCTGTCATATGGTGAGACGCACCTGAATCGATAATTACATCACCAATTTGCTTACCAGAAAGCTTTTCAGACTGATTGCCTGATCTCCCTCCATTGATGATTTGAGTTATGGCTTTCCACTGCTCAGGAGACAAATCACCAGTCCCTGAACCATAAGAGCTAGTCGCTTGTGCTGTATGTGCTGAACCACGACCATTAGTAGCTCCCCCACGACCATAACCACCTCGTCCGTTTCCTCTACCAGCTCCTCTGCCTCTTCTCTCAACCATCCACTCAGGAAAACCAATGATTTGCCAGCAACTGCTCTTGTCATGACCCGTCTTGCCGCAGTTTGAACATGTTCTAGCTTTATTTCCATATCCAGAGTTTGTGTTCTCAGATCGTGCCACAAAGCCACTTGCTTCTAAATTCTCTCCTTTGGACATATTCCTGGACCCTTCCTCCAGTTGATTTTCTCTTTTGTTGCTAGCAAAACCAATCGCCTCTTGCTGAGCTACTTCACGAGATTTAGTTGCATTCATTCTAGCTTCTTCCCTAATCACCTTAGCATAAGCTTTACCTAAATCAGGTAGCTCATCAGCTTCGATGATTGCTGTCACCACATTGCTAAACTTGGAATCATCTAGCCCCATAATAAATTGATGCACTCTTTCTTCTTCTCTTTCTTTTTCATAAGCTGCTGCCGCAGAACATGTACAAGCCGGAGGTGGTTTGTACGTCTGCAATTCTTCCCACATCATAGCTAGACGTCCATAATAGTCTATCACAGCCTGTCCATCCTGTCTACAAGATGCTAATTGTTCTTTCAACTGATGAATACGCACTTTGTTTCCTACTTCAAAACGTTTCTTCAAATTCTCCCATAACTTCTGCGCTTCAGTAATGAAAGTCACAGTAGATCGGACTTTTGGTTCTATAGACGAACGGATCCAACCCACTATCATAGAGTTAACACTGAGCCACGCTTCTAAATCGGGACTATCTTCACTTGGCTTCGGTAACGTACCATCCACGAAACCCATCTTCTTCTTAGCTCGGAGTGCATTAACCATCTCCAAAGCCCACTCATTATAATTATCGCCCTTCAACTTCACTGAAGTAATCAAGGCTCCTGGATTATCAGATGAAAACAGAGCATACGGAGAACTCCCCATAACCTCGTTCTGTTTTGATATCATCATCTTCGCTGCATCTTCACTCATGATTGTTTGATTTTTATTTTAGCAATTCGAAACAAAGAAATTTTATGTTGATCTTTGCTCTGATACCATGTAAGTTAGCTGAATTGCTTGCCTTTATTCATTGATTTACAAACGTATATATACTCGAGTCAACAACCGACTCTACAAAGATAACTCCTATATAAATTACATCATTATCTCTAAATATTAACGTCCTTATCTTCAACTTTAGCTTTATCTCCAATAATAATCACGTATACGAACAAGACGAACATGTGAATCTTGTAATAGAAACTATTTGTTTTGTAGCTATATTTCTTAATTTTTATTCGAGCTAACAATTAAATTTATTATAAGAATAAATTACCATACCAGTTTTTAGAATAAAGAAAAAAATCATATCTTCAAAAATTTAAAGAATTTATTTGTTAATGACTAGAAAATTTTGGATACGAATGCCTGTACATCTTCATAAATCAAGATCCGAACTATATTAAATAATTTTTTTTAGTAGAACAGACTCCTCCCATAAAGTATCTAACCTATAATTTCTTAGATTTCTCATACCGATTCAATCGTTTTGTCAATTAGACTAATTCTTCGTTGGTATTTTTTAAAAAAAATATACGTTACATAAGCGTTAATTGGTAAAGCTAAAACTTTCGAAAGAATACTGTAACGCCCCGGCCGTCCACAGTTAGTGGGCCATCCATGCCCGCTCTCTCGGCTCGTGTACCCATCCCGTTCCAACGGTCGGTCCATTAATTTTCCTAGGTTCTAGAGTCATGTTTATTGGCCCTGCAATCACCACCCGACCTTTTCCCGTGTTTTGGCCTCACTTATACGGTATCGCGAATCACTTCCCGATAGGTTACCCATCCTTTGATTACTCCAGCTCAAGCACGCTTAACTCTGGAGTTCTCTCTGGATGTGCTCCCGAAAAGGTAAGTGCACTTTGATGACATAGGTAGCCAAATCAATTCTCTTAAGCCTTTCCATATATCACAAACCGAGATGTTACAATTCACCCCCTCTCAAAGAACGCAACGTTCCTGTTGCGCTCCACGGGTCTTAAGACGCCTCTCAGGTCAGAACTGAGATGGCTAACCAGCTCTGATACCACTTGTAACGCCCCGACTGCCCACAGCTAATGGGCCACCCACGCCCGCTCTCTCGGCTCGTGGGCCCATCCCGTTCCAACGGTCGGTCCGTTAATTTTCCTAGGCTCTAGAGTCATGATACTGACCCTGCAATCACCACCCGACCTTTCTCCGTGCTTTGGTCTCAGTTACACGGTATCGCGAATCACTTCCCGATAGGTTACCCAACCTTTGACTACTTCAGCTCAAGCACGCTTAATTTTGGAGTTCTCTCTGGATGTGCTCCCGAAAAGGTAAGTACATTTTGATGACATAGGTAGCCAAATCAATTCTCTTAAACCTTTCCATAAACCATAAACCGGGATGTTACAAATACATGGTGGTCTCTGATTTTGCTTATAATGTCAAAGGCTTATAGTGTCAACATTTGATCAGCATGTTTTAAAATATCGGAACAAACGGTACATTCGGTCGCTTTACTTTCTTTGGTTGGTGTTTTAATAAATTTCATATATATAATTTAGAAAATAGCCGTTACAATATATACTCCTCGAGAATTAACCGCTTTTCATTCCCGCGATAAATCATACCACAATCTCATCCCCACGCGCTTAATACTACTATGCGCGTGTACCGTCGAATGAATTATCACCACCGACGGGAGTGGCCGCTAAATTTGACGACCATGTGGATAATATAATATAACAAAATATATAATTCACAAAAATACATATAGTAAGAAGCTAATAGTTTATTAAAAAAAATTCCCGAAAAAATAGTTATCTTTATTCTTAAAAAAATAAATAAAACTGAATTTTTTAAGATGTTTTTTTAGTTCTATAAAATTTTAAGTTTGATTGAAATTTATCAAGTGAACATACACTAAATATTACAATGAGTACAATTTTAAAAATATATATATCAAAGTAATAAAAATAATTAGTTCATGTATTAAATTAGGTATTAAAAAAGGTTTAGATATTAAAAAAATTTAACAAAATTTCGGTCTGGTTATTTTTATAGAATATTCTTATATATTTTAATGGAATTATAGAAAAGGTAAAAAAAAAAACGGGTCTGCTTTTAGAAATTCGCAATCGACCTGGTACGCATATCAACGAGGTAGTGGAGGATGACAAACGAGAGAACCAAACAAAAGAGAATAAGCACAAAACAAATGTTAATCAAAATTATCAAAGTAAAAGAAATTATGCACTATTTTCAAAAAGAGTAGAAATAGAATCACCTAAAAACAGAACAAAAGAGACAAAGACCAGAGAAAATAGATATTATCAGACCATTTTGAACTGCGTTTTTCTGGGCTTTGCGTCAGGTTTCCTCTCTAAAAGTAAAAAAAAAACAAAGAGTTCCTTTGCTTTTGGCTTTACTTCATGGTCTCCGCCAGAAAAGTTTGCTCCCTTTTGACACATAAGACGACAAGAAGGTTCAGCTTCGGATCTCTCTACCTCTTTCTCTGTTATGACTCTATTTTTGTTTGATTCTCACTGTTTCATTCTCTAACTGTTTCACCTTAAATGATGAAAGAGTCAACTAACTAGATGATTACTCCTTCTCTGGCTCTGGATTAGGGTTGACTGTTGTTAGTTGAAACTAGCTCCTACCTATGTGATATTTGGTTATGTGTCTCTTCTTCTAGGAGCTGCCTTTCAATAGAATCTTGACTTTTGTGACAGAAACAGAAGGTTGATTGATATCAAATCAGTGATGGAATAATTTTTTTTTTTCCTTATTGGGAGGTGTTTAAGATGGTCCACCATCAATACCTAAAAGAAGAAGATACAGTGTGATCCATTAACTGACACTGACATTATAGTTTGGTCTGTTTTTTTTTTTATCTTTCAAGAATAGGGTTTTTAGGGTGTATATGAGTCCCCTTATCAATGGAGCTTATACAAGTAGAGGTGGCGTTGACCTATTGGGTGAATGGAATATGACCACAAACTTTCTTTTTTTCTTTTAGGTGCAAATGTCTTACATAACACTCAACTTGTGATCTTGTATGCAACTTTGCAGTTCTTGAGTTTAGTTGGTTAATGAAGTTTTGTATGTATCTTTTGTTGCTTTTTGCTAGTTGAGGAAACATGAATACAACTTCAACACACTTTGTTTCTCCGAGAAGGTTTGAAATCTACGAGACCAGTATGTGGGAAGAAAGCTTCAAGAACAGTGGAGGCATCTATACACCTAACTCTATCATCATCCCCACAAATGCTAAACCAGACAGCTTGGTACTTATCTCAAGATCAGTTCTATCATTTCTAGTTCAGAAACTAATTAATGGTTGCTTTTCATCTTTTGTTTCAGTCAGAGGATACTTCTAATGGAACTCCTCACAAGTTTGACCAAGAAGCTTCCACATCTAGACATCCTGATAAAGTAAGTTTACTACACCTCATTTTGTTTTTATCTTTGGAGTTTTTTTTTTGTAAATTTTGGATCTTTGATCTCTTAACAGACACAGAGACGGCTTGCACAGAATCGAGAAGCAGCTAGGAAAAGTCGTTTGCGAAAGAAAGTATGAAACTTCTTGAAATAGTTGTGTTTTTGTTTTTGTTATACTTAAGAATCTTGTCTTGTCAGGCTTATGTTCAGCAGCTAGAAACAAGCCGGTTGAAGCTAATTCATTTAGAGCAAGAACTCGATCGTGCTAGACAACAGGGTTTCTATGAAGGGAACCGAGTAGATACTAATGCTCTTGGTTTCTCAGATAAGATGAGCTCAGGTTTGAATTTGAATCTTTTCACTTTTTTTTTGGGCATGTTCCTAGTCATATCTCTCATACTCAGTTTCGGTTTTTGTTGTTGTTGTTAGGGATTATAGCATTTGAGATGGAATATGGACACTGGGTGGAAGAACAGAACAGGCAAATAAACGAGCTGAGAACGGTTTTACACGGACAAGTCAGTGATGTGGAGCTTCGTTTGCTAGTTGACAATGCCATGAAACATTACTTTCAACTCTTCCGAATGAAGTCAGCTGCTGCGAAGATTGATGTCTTTTACATCATGTCTGGAATGTGGAAAACTTCAGCAGAGAGGTTCTTCTTGTGGATAGGTGGATTTAGACCCTCAGAGCTGCTCAAGGTAATCAAGAAACTCGTCTTGAATCCATAGTAAGTAATGTCTTTTCTCACAATATAGATGTTCTCTTTTTTTTTTGTGGTTAGGTTCTGTTACCACATTTTGATCCTTTGATGGATCAACAAGTATTGGATGTGTGTAACTTGAGGCAATCATGTCAACAAGCTGAAGATGCTGTATCTCAAGGGATGGAGAAGTTGCAGCATACATTAGCAGATAGTGTAGCAGCTGGGAATCTCGGTGAAGGAAGTTACATTCCTCAAATAACTTGTGCTATGGAGAGACTAGAGGCTTTGGTCAGTTTTGTGAATCAGGTAAGAGAAAAATATTTTAAATTATTAAAACAAGAATTGTGTTTCTTGAGTTGTTTTCTTAAACTGTTAGTTTTTTTTTTGTTGTTGGTGTAGGCTGATCATCTAAGACATGAGACATTGCAACAGATGCATAGGATCTTAACCACAAGACAAGCAGCTAGAGGATTGTTAGCGTTAGGTGAGTATTTCCAACGGTTAAGAGCTTTAAGCTCGAGTTGGGCGACTCGTCAACGTGAACCAACGTAAGTAAGGAGATTTGATTTTCAAGAAAGGTTTTGAGACTGTTAAGAATCAAGATTGGTGTTTGATGGTGTGTGGATTTTGGACAAGAATAAAAGCTGCTTATTTGATGATGATGATGATGATGATGATACTTGTCTTGCGGATGAAGAAACTATTTGCGGAAGTTGTAAATATAATCAGCAACGTAAATGTTTATAGCTTATGTGTGCTTTGCATGTTGTATATATGATTTCTGTGGTAATGATTTCTAATAATTATGGAATCGCTGATAAAAATGTCAATTTAATTTAACAAGCAGATCATATATAATCAATTAAGATGAAAGGAAATATTAAACAACATTCTATAACCAAACTCAGTTTTTGTGTTAGAAAACCTTTTCTTCTACCTTACTAGGGAAAACCTCAGCAAAAACATAAGGGTATGACTGATAAATTTGAGTAAATGAGAGGAAACAAAAATATGAAACTTTTCACATAAACCCTATATTTTACTCTAATCGTGCACATTCAATCACACTCTAGATATGACCACACTAATCTCTATCAATCTTCTTTGTGTGTGCCGTTGCTGTTTGTAGATTAATAAATTGCTGTTTGGTCTCCAAGTTTCTACCAAAAAAGAAAAAGTAAAAAAATTGGGTACATTGGCTCTTTTGTTACTGGAGTGGAGAATACAAACATAAATGAAAAGTACATTATGTCATCCAGACTTGAGGATTTTTTAACTATGAATAAAGCTCAAAGAGTTTCTGAGACACCTCTGATCACAAAAATTCACTTCTGCTGAAGCTGCCAAGAAACGTTATTCTGGGTTCTGAAGTTTTGATAATCAAAGGACTTCATGAGCCTTTCCATAGTATCTGTTGATGAACCGCGACTGCAAAAAACAGTAAACCAGATTCACATATTAAGAACTGAACGTCCTTTCGCAGACACTGTTTTTTGTTTTCTTTTGTTCTTACCTTGACGCCAGAGACATCTGGTGTTTCTGGTGAAGGTAGAGGGTAGAATTTGTAGAACTTCATGCTTTGAAAGGCTTGCTTAGTCTCTTCGCTCATTTCTTCTATTGCCTTCCTTCGAGCTTCTCTGGCCTGCAATGATCATTCCGTAAGCAAACAGTTTCATTTAATATAATATCATCCATCTTGGTTTGGTTACAGTTTACCTCTCTATTAGCTTTCTTTGCAGCTCGAACTTGCTCTTTCACATATTCCTGTGAACAATAAAAAACAAAAGAACTTAGACAAATCCTTACCACATCATGAACTGACTATTGAGTTATACAGCTCCACTCACTTTGAATTCATCCTTTTGTTCTGCAGCTAAGGCTTCGTCTTCAATCAGTTTATCGACAAATTCCTGAGATAAATGCACAAAACACATACGATGAATGCAAGAACACACGAGAAAGGAGCAGTGCAGAGAAAATGATGCTCTTGAATCAAATGAAGAAGTAATTTTCAAGTTTTATCGTTACAGAAAAGCCAAAGGCACACCTCAAGTTCGTCAAGCTCCCAGTCAAATTCACATACAACCTGCACAAATAGAAGAACGATAAAGCTTGATTATTAAAATATACCATAAACAATGTGCCCCTACCAAGCCATTTTATGTAGACTACCACTCCACACACATTCATTACAAGCGAAAGACTTACCGGCGGTTCAGAGGGGAACATTATTTGAACCTCAGTACTCTGTTCCAGTTCATCTTCCGTAAATGGCTGATAGAAATCTACAAATACAAAAAAAAAAAGAGATTAGATTTGTCGTTGCTTGCCATGTACTATAACTGGTTTTCGATCCAGTTAATTTAACTGATGTCGGTAATGAGGAATAAAACTCACAAGGAAGGCAATACTCGTACTTCTTGACGAGATCTTCCTTCATGCGTCTGAGAGCAGCTCTGCAGATAATACAAAGGTAAACTCAATACACCACCAGAACTGGTAGATTCAAACTATACTATGCAGATATGATGCAAATTGACTCATCAAACTTTCAAATGGTGGCCACGTGTATCCATGTTTCACGTTTTGATTTCAGTATCACATGGAATGTAACACAAAAGCCCTTCATAGCAAGTGAACATCGATCTTTTTAACTCTATCAGCCAACTGACACTAAGAAGAGAACGCAACACATGTTTACTTACCTCCTCCGGGTACAGCCCAAGACAAAAATTTGAAAGTCCATCCTATCAACTTGTCTACCTCTGCAGGAAGGAAAAAATCAAAGGTGGTTAGCAAATACTGGTAAACATTAAAAGTAAGAATAGAACGAGATGTAATCTTCGTTTCTCTTCTCACTGATGTAGACGATCCCACCAAATGAGTTCAGATGCAAGTATAATTCATGGTCTAATAACCTTTTGTCAACTGGAATGTAAGGAAGCCAGTCCATTTTCATCGTCTTCATTGGAATGATTTCCTCCACTTCTCTCTGGACCGACGTGATTCCAATCTTATCAGAAGGTGGGAAGGGTGATTCAACCTGCAAATAGAGAATGGATAAAATTTAACCATGAGAAATGATATATGATTTTGAACCCAGATATCAACGATACCAAGCAAATGTTGATAGTAGTTTAAAGAAGAACTTACAGCAACTACTGCTGGAACATGGAGAATCTTGTTTGCACCTTTGAATGGGACTAACTGGGCTGTAACGATGAATAGAGAATATTCAACAAAAACGATATCAGTATATCACAAGTGCTTAAGCATGTTTTAACCAGGATCAAAGACAAGGTGACAGCATAAAAGAATTAAACATAGCTCCAACTATCAATAATCAAAGACAAGGTGACAGCATAAAAGAATTAAACATAGCTCCAACTATCAATAATCAAAGACAAGGAGACAACTTACGTTCTGTACAACCAAAAAGAAAGACTTTCTTGCCATAGAGCAATCCATCTTCCTCCTCCAATGCTTCCTGGCATACAACAAAAGTAACATAAATATCAGAATCTCATCAACCCTGAAAACCCTGTCGACTCAACAACTGACAACAAAAAGGATAATATAATCGAAACAAACTTACTTCGAGATGTTTGAAATCCCAATTGAATTCATAGAGTGCATCTAATTGGTCCCACTGCCACCAGAAAAGAACAAAACCATAAGCAAATATATATCTCGGACGTTCAAAGCCAAATTCCTCAAGAAAAATATACCTCAGTCCCCACTGGAAATGCAGCCTTCCACAAACCCTCCTGTAAAAAAAAAAAACACAAAATAAGCATACATGAAATTTAGAAAACAATCCTTTTAATTAGAAACAAACAATACTGAAATCTTCCCACACCATTCGACATTATAATAACTCATGCTCGAAGCAGCATATACCATATACGGCAAACAATTATCATACTCGAAGAAAATAAACCTATCAAACTATTATTACACTACATCTAAATAAGTTATATCTATCTTGCAACTAAACGCTCTTATCAGCTCTAAACTAATAATCCAAGTGATGAATCTCAATCCAACACACACATCACAACCTCCAAATCGCATTTTAATCCAACTGATGAATCTTAATCCGTTACGCATGATTATAAGATAATTCCAAAGACTAAAACATTACCAAATTACGCTCATCCTCGAAATACTCAGGCTCTTCTTGTGGTTTAATCACTCGTGCTTTCTTCGCTCTCGGAGCCGGTTTCTTCTCATCTTTCACATCAATTTCCTTCTTCGTGGTGGCTCTCTTTCGCTTACCACCACCACGAGCAGCAGGCTTCTCCTTCTTATCTTCTTCCTCGGCTTTGACGTCCTCCTTTTGCTGAGCAGATGAAGCGTCTTTAGCCTCATCGACCTGTTTGTCTTCTTCCTCATCTTTCACTCCGTTCTCTTGATTTCTCTCGGCATCTTCTTTCCCATTCTCCTCGGCAACATCTTCCTTAGGAAGTTGACTCTCCTCCTGCGTCGAATCCTCAAGAGACTCAGCAATCACCTCATCGTTGTGACTCTCTGCAACCGCATCTTTGCGTCCGGCTTTAGAAGCACCCTTTCTCTTATCTCCTTTCCTCATTGCACACTCAAACCCTAATGCTTCGGCGACGAAAGAGGAGAGAGAAAGCTAAGGGATCTAATGGCGGTGGATCCGTAATTTCGAATTTCAGCAGACTCCCTTGCTTTTCTATTTATTTATTGTCCTGCTTCAAACCAACGCCTCTTCGGAAAAAAGATGAATTAGGGTTTTTAATTTCCCCCCACCCCCCAAATTAAAAATCAGGCGTCCGTTTGCAAAATTATCTCTGAGGCCCAAAACTTAAATAAAAGCCCAATTTTATTCATCCAAAGGCCCAATGGTAATCCTTTTCATAATGAGGACCAATTACAGCAACGGATGTCAATATCGTTAAGATAATAGTATGCGAAGTTTTACCAAATTAAATCATTAATAGAGGACTTATTTGCAAATTTTAAAACCTGCCAAGTGATCTCCACTGTTATCGTCTCTAAGCTCAACAATGGATTCTGACGAATAAGATCGAAAGCATTCACTATGTTTCCCACTTCAAATCTGCAATCGTCTAAACCGAAAATCTTCCCAAATCCGATTCTCCATCACAGATTCGTCGTTACAAAATTACCACTTCGCCGCCGGTACACTCTCCGGCGAGCTTCTCCACCTCTGCGATTCGCTAAGGTTTCGGAATCAATCGAGTCTTCTTCCGAATTGATTTCTTCAGTGAGACAGCCTCCTCTCCAATGTACACTCACGCAGAAACACTTCTTCATGCTCAATCTCGTCGCTTGCGTAGTAAGTCTCACTGTTACTCCTCGAGATCTTCGTCCTCTGAATTTGCTTATATGAACTTTCACTTTTGTAACAATAAATCATTATTTAAGCAAAAAAAAAAGATATAATCATTAGCACCATTGTTATTATACACTTGCAGACAGCTGTTTCAGCATCATGGCTGTTCTTGTCTGCAATCCCGACACTCTTGGTTAGTTCTTGAACATTTGTCTTTTTAGATTTTTTTTTTACAGATTTCTTTGGGTTTGAAATTTAGAATATCTATCTATTTGTTTACTTTGAAAAGGCTTTGAAGAAAGCAGCTGAGTCTCTTGAAAAGCTATTGGATGTAACCAGAGAAGAGTTACCTGATACTATGGCTGCTGTTCGCTTATCTGGGATGGAGATTAGTGACTTGACCATGGAGCTTAGTGATTTAGGGTTTGTTTCTGCTTCTGGCTTCACATCTATCGTGCTTACCATTTGTAACTCTTCAATATTTGTGTAGGCAAGGTATCACTCAAGGTGTTAAAAGCTCAACAGGGGCTATTCGTGTTACTGAAGATAAACTAAGGAGGTTAATAAACATGAATCCAGGTTTTAGCTTTTACTTCTAAACTCTGTTTTTTTTTTCTTTATCAGGTGTGGGGTTTCACGGTTAAGTCTGTTTTTTTTAACTTCATTCAGTAGCTTCTATGCAGGAGGTGATGCATCAAACCGAGACTAAGGGAACAGAACCAGTGGTAGCTAAAAAAGCGAGGAATTTGAAGGAAGGGATTGTTAAGGGACGTTCTTTATTGCAACTTTTCTTCACAATCACTAGGTTTTCCAGAATCGCATCAAGTTATTTTGCAAAGCGAGCTAAGGAGTAGAAGGTTGAAGTTTGAACAATCACATCTCATTTCATTTTATACATTAAGAATAGGCTTAGTCTGATTGATATGAAACTATGGAGATCTTGATGCTTGAGACGCAAAGCAGGAGTTGCTCAAAAAAAAAAAAAAAAAGACGCAAAGCAGGTTTCCTTTAGAGTATCTTGTAAACAAGATTATCAAATTCTACATCACAACAAAGTTAAAAAGACTCTTAACTACATGTCCTAGTTGTTAACTCCAGCTCGTTTCCATGTTCAACTTTCATACTCAGTAATCATAGAATTTGCGGTTTTTATTGTCTTCCAATCAACACTCAAACAAACTTACAAAATTACACAGTCAAAAATCATAATACATACAAAAATAATAAATATTTGTGAACAATATACACACAAAAGTACAAATATTTATAAACAAGAATCATATAATACACACAGAAGTAGAAGATTTTCTCCGTACATTATTAACTTGACGTTGACTTTGACTTTGCTTCACATGGATGACACGCCGGAATAAAACATTAGGCACCATACATGTTGGTACCTCCAGGCTTGCCGGAACTATATTCCAGATTCGATGAAGCTTTCCTCGACGACACTTCCACAACCTCTGTGACGTCCTCTTCTTCCGATGTCTTCATCACCATGCATCATTTATCATTTATCATATATGTATACAGTTATCATTAGAAATCTTTGTGATGGTAAGCAAGAAGAGACATAATGAAGCATATTAAGTAACACGTGAAAGAAAGAAAGAAAGAAAGAAACATATTCAAATTAATAGTATTATACGTTTACAAATTTAATATTTATACTAGATTTTGACCCGCGCAACCGCGCGGGTGTTGTTTTCGTTTATAGTTATATAAACATTTTGTTTTCACTTGTAAATTGGTATATATTATAGTAATCACATATTTACGATATGTATAGTAAATGTTTTTCAAACATAATAATATTATATAATAAGTGTTTTAATCAAATAGATTGTTTCAAATTTTCTATATTATACATGACTTTCAAACATGTGTTTGTTTCTTCTTCNCACATATTTACGATATGTATAGTAAATGTTTTTCAAACATAATAATATTATATAATAAGTGTTTTAATCAAATAGATTGTTTCAAATTTTCTATATTATACATGACTTTCAAACATGTGTTTGTTTCTTCTTCTATATTTTATTGTTTGTTAGATTAGTATTTCATTTTTAGATAAAGTAATATAAATAGAGCTTGATTTAATATTAGTGTAATTTAATTTGCAAAGATAATATAAACTTCGAAGAATGTTTTTGCTAAAAACTAAACTTATAGCTTCATAAATTAATATTATAAAAAGTTTATTAAAAAGGAACTTTTTAAACAATTTCTTTTTTTTTAAACAATACAATTTTAAAATTTTACATCGAAATAAATTTATCTAATATATATAACGTATAAAATTTGTTAAGGTATATAAATATTACATATTAATAATCTGTGATTTTTGTTAATATATTCTGGATGCATTTAACTATTATTGACATATTTCCTTATAAATAATAGAAGATTCCTAAATTTATATCTGTTGACATATTTTGCATGATTAAGTTGGAAGGTGTGGGGTAATTTACCAAAACAAAATTGTTAAGCATATTAGAAGATAAAATAATCCCCTATATATTAATTGAGAAACATTTGAAAAGATGTAACCTCAAGTTTGTAATAATTAAAAAGTAACCTTGCTTAGTTGTCAATCAATTAGCATACCAATTAAACTGACGTGGCAGCTTTAGGTTCAATTGAAATTTGCTAGGGAAAAATAATTAGAGACGCATATAACGCATGTAACATAGTTTTTTTTATATATATATATATATATATATATATATATATATATCGCACGCATGTAATGGAAAAAAAGGAAAATATACGATTTGATAACGATTTGCATATATTAACTATAATAACTTCATTCCTTTTAATTTATGGAAGTGTATATGTAAAATGGAAATTACTTTGTGACCAAGTACATACTTAATGGTAAAGGCAAGAACGTTTATTATATGAATATATCTTTTGATCATTTTGACAAAACAATGAACGATATAAAGAGGC